CTCCTTCAGGTATACTGGACCGAGGCTGTTTAGAGCTTTAAAGGTCAATACTAACACCAACAGATGGAGTTTTGATCCTGTCTGACACTACTTATGACATTGCTTGGGTTCTCTGCACTTGCCCATCACCTTGGAAACATGTTAAATTGTTTGAACCAGACGCAGAAACAAAAAATAAAACTCGTTCAAGAACAGCCAATGCTTCCCTCTGAAAATGTAATTGGATTTCTGTCTTATCAGCCGCAGCCCGTGTGACCAATGGTCAAGGATGATGGGAGTGCTGATCAATGTCAGGAGGATACCATGTTGGTTGTCCAAAATTTTAATCACTGGCAATATATGAAATGCCATCACCTCAGAAGGTGGGGGACTCTGCTCCATTTTGTGGGATGTAATCCACTGGAGCAGTCAAATACAACATTCCTTGTTTTCTTAGAGTGGACATGTGGGGGAATGTTTGGTCCAGCCAGTCGAAAACTTCCTGTTTCCTCCTGGCTGGGACATACTTCCTTTGCATGTGACTAGAGGTGGGCATGACCTTACCTGCCCAGGTAACAAAAGGACAGGGCACACAGCACACTCTCTCTTCCATCTTTGTTTCATCATGTGAGCTGGAGTGACTGCTGCCTTGCAGTCACTGGGATCATTCCCCCATATGGGGTAGATCCACATGTATATTTCTGCCTTCAGGGATCCATCTGTGAACTGATGTGAGTAAACTTCTTTTGTATGCTTGAAATCAGATTGTTGTGTGTTGATTCTTTTTAAGAGGGATAAAAAAAGGGAACTTACCAGGAACATACAATTAAATACAGTGGACACTTGGGTTGCGAACGTGATCCGTGTGGGATGCACATTCACAACCCGCAGCATCCGCAACCCACAGCAGCGCGTCTGCACACGCGCGGGTTGCGATTCGGTGTGCATGCGCAAAGCACGATTTAGCGCTTCTGCGCATGCACGACTGCTGAAACTCGAAAGTAGCCCGTTCTGGTACTTCTGGGTTTTGGCGGTCCGCAACCTGAAGCATCTGTAACCCAAGGTATGACTGTACTGTATTGTATGAAAGTGAGAGGCTTACACAAGCCTGCAACCAGCTATCCGCTGTGCATGTTTAAAAGGGCAATGTAAAACTCTGCTAAGTAAAAGAACTTGCTAGCGCATGTTAGGAAGGGTATTAATAAACAATATATCCTCTCCTGCCTCCCTGAACATTCCCACACATTTGAGGTTTCTAAGCAGAGGTTAGATGGCCATCTGTCAGGGATGCTTTAGCTGAGATTCCTGCATTGCAGGGGGCTGGACTAGATTGACCTTGGGGCTCCCTTCCAACTCTACAATTCTATGATGCCTATTTTTTGTGCCCCTGACCAGGTGGTGGCCCATCCTAGTTATGCTCGGATGATTAGGATTGGGCAAATGAGACCCGTCCTTGCGCTCAGTTGATGATGGGAGGATGTTGAGCGCAGCTGCACGCAGCCAGCAGAACGATGTGTCAGTGGCCACAGAAGCTAGCACGCTGCCCCACCACCGTCACGCAAACCACATTCATCCTTGGCCTCCGTAGTTTCCCCTTGGCTCGCAGCTCCTCGCGGAAGGGCACTGGAGCAATATCTGACTTTAACAAGGAGGACAGAAAACAGATTTCTCAATCCACCGGTCAGCCCGAAATGATTGTGCATTGGAAATGGAAAAACAACAGCTGCTGCTGCCTGATTATTCAGAAGTGGCTTCCTATAAAGCTGGGCATTTTTGGGAAGGGTGGAAAAGGGCGAAGCAGGAAGGGATTTCTTACCTTCCTGTGACGCCGTTGTGATCCTTTAACGGCACAGCCAACATTCCATACCACCAAGTAATTCTGACCAAGAACCACAGTGAGGAACGTTTGGGAACGGTGCTCAGATGAGGCTCTGATTCTGCAAAAGTCACAGCAACTGGAATTTCTTATGAGGTCCTCCTGGGGAGGAGATGCTGAGCCTGGAAAGCAAAACGTCTTCAGCCAGTAATCAGCTCTGGCACTTGGTCTGAATTGCATCCCGTTTCCTGAAGAGTCATGGTCTTTCCGTGATGAATATGTGAAGGCATCACCATTTACCACGCAACCCAGCTTTTTCAGCCTGGCAACAACAGCTCTCTGGGTTCGTTGTGAGGTGGCCGAAGGCAACACAATTGTGTTTTCCTTTCTGCTAAATGTTTCTCATGCCTCCCCACCTACCCTAGAAGATAAGCAAGCCCGGGCAGTTTGTATGGAGGTCCTAGGCTTACCGGATGATGAAGAAGAGTTTGGATTTGATATCCCACTTTATCACTACCCGAAGGAGTCTCAAAGCGGCTCACATTCTCCTTTCCCTTCCTCCCCCACAACAAACACTCTGTGAGGTGAGTGAGGCTGAGAGACTTCAGAGAAGTGTGACTAGCCCAAGATCACCCAGCAGCTGCATGTGGAGGAGCGGGGAATCGAACCTGGTTCACCAGATTACGAGTCCACCGCTCTTAACCACTACACCACACTGGCTCTCAAGATCCCCCTCTCAGCCTCTCTGATGTGGTCCAAAGGAAAGCAGAGCAATACATTTTGCAACAGCTTGGCTGTGGGAGTTGCCGGAAGGAGGTGGACAAGGCACCATCCAACTCTCTTAGGGACTCCTAAGGGGTTACTCCTTAGCCTTTATTTCTCCTGAAAATGTCCTGCAAGGCAGAGGGGAATGGGTTGTTCCTCAGGCTTTAGTCCTGAAGCCTCTCTCGCAAATGAGTGTATCTGCAAGGCAAGAGAGGTTTACGACCAGAGTTTTCCTTCTCCTACATGGGCTCCCTTCCTAGGTTGACAAGCCCCATCTGCTCCTCACTTCCCTCTACAACACGTGCAGAAACAGCCTTCTTGGCCATGTTGTTGTTGTTTAGTCGTTTAGTCATGTCTGACTCTTCGTGACCCCACGGACCAGAGCACGCCAGGCACTCCTGTCTTCCACTGCCTCCCACAGTTTGGTCAAACTCATGCTGGTAGCTTCGAGAACACTGTCCCACCATCTCGTCCTCTGTTGTCCCCTTCTCCTTGTGCCCTCCATCTTTCCCAACATCAGGGTCTTTTCCAGGGAGTCTTCCCTTCTCATGAGGTGGCCAAAGTATTGGAGCCTCAGCTTCAGGATCTGTCCTTCCAGTGAGCACTCAGGGCTGATTTCCTTCAGAATGGAGAGATTTGATCTTCTTGCAGTCCATGGGACTCTCAAGAGTCTCTTCCAGCACCAGAATTCAAAAGCATCCATTCTTTGGCGATCAGCCTTCTTTAGGGTCCAGCTCTCACTTCCATACATCACTATTGGGAAAACCATAGCTTTAACTATACGGACCTTTGTTGGCAAAGTGAACCCTCTATTGATCTTGTCCACTCAATCCAGTGGAGCCTGTCTTTGGATGCAGGGAAGATACCTAACTCACCAAGGGTTTGACACCCATTGGCTACCGTCACGTGCCGAATTCCCTTTTATAATTGTCTTAACTTGGGCATGGCAAAATTTTGTGGTAGTAGATTCCCTAGTTTAATTATTATAGGATTTGATTGTCAGGCTACATTTACTAGAGCCCAGAGGTGTTGCGTTCTGTATCACGGAGTAACACCATCCTGAAATCTGAGTATGTAGATTCACACGACTGCACTTTACTGTAAAAGATGGAGATGGAGTAGCCTTTTTTTTAATAGATTTTTTAAAAAAATCCCGTCCGCTGGAAATGTCAATTTTAGTAAGAAAATGAAAAACCATGAAAGTTTGGCTCAGCCGGCCCCCTCCTCTGAGTTCTGAGGAGGGACACGACAGGAGGCCTCTCAGAGAAAGGTTGCAAGTCTTAAGGAACCTCTTCTGGGCATGCCTGAAAATCCTGCAAGTTCCTTGCATGGAGAGATTCTCCGACATTTGCTTCAATTTCACCTGAGGACGTCAGAGGCAGAAGCGAGCCAGCCGTCCCAGTGGGAGATCACAGACCCCTTCAATCCTGCTTTGAAATTCAGCCTCCCGAGAGTACCATAAAGTTCATTTTAAAGAGTTACGCTTTCAAGAACGCTTCCTGAACAACAGGCCTTTTCACTATTGGTGGGGCAAATGAATGGCGCTTCCTTGTGGCCTTTAAATGTCCACTGAGAATGCTTTTCTTTTGATAGGATTACGGTTCAACAGGCTCTCAGGGTCTTGCTCCCAAAGTACACGTGATGTTGCTCCCAGGCTTTGCTTTTGAGTATGCAATTCTGCTTTCAGGAATAGCTAGCAGGGGCAGGCTTGAGAAAGCAGATAGTGAGAAGTCTTCCTCCCTCTCTTGTAGAACTTGTGGACGTCCATGCTGGATGTTCATTTCAACTGCAGGGAATTTTTTTATTTTTTACATCTGTTTATATGCAATGCTTTTGAATTCTGGTGCTGGAGGAGACTCTTGAGAGTCCCATGGACTGCAAGAAGATCAAACCTATCCATTCTGAAGGAAATCAGCCCTGAGTGCTCACTGGAAGGACAGATCCTGAAGCTGAGGCTCCAATACTTTGGCCACCTCATGAGAAGAGAAGACTCCCTGGAAAAGACCCTGATGTTGGGAAAGATGGAGGGCACAAGGAGAAGGGGACGACAGAGGATGAGATGGTTGGACAGTGTTCTTGAAGCTACCAGCATGAGTTTGACCAAACTGCGGTGGCAGTGGAAGACAGGAGGGCCAGGGGGTCACGAAGAGGCGGACACGACTAAACAACAACAACAACATGCAATGTACTTGATTCAGCTGCTAAACCACTCTTCAAAGCACGGCTGCAGACCCCGGGCCCTCCAAATGTGGCTGGACTCCAATACCCATCAGCCTCTGCAGCCAACGCAACCAGTGGGATAGGGATGATGGGATTTGTGGTCCAGCAACATTTGTAGGGCCAAAGGTCCCCCAGCCCTGAATCATACAATCATAGAAATGGAGAGTGGAACGGGACCACAAGGGACATCTAGTTCAACCCCTGCAATGCAGGAATCTTTTGCCCAGTGTGGGGCTCGAACCCACAACCCTGAATTTAAGAGTCTCATTCTCTGCCGACTGAGGTATCCCAGAAGCACCTGAATTGGAATCGAAGGAAAGATTTAAAAAAATGCAGATGAAAATGAACTGAGCCTGAAATGGTAATCATTTTGACCCAGTTTTTGGTCTGATCCGATAGGGATCTTATATCTTTCTTATGTTTCGAATTCCTCCTTTGTTACAAAGTCTTCACCAATTTTTTAAACAAAAAATAAGAAAGTGAGAATGGCCTGCTGGATCGGGCCCATGGCTCACCTAGTCCAGCATCCTGGCCAATCAGATGCCTCAATGGGAAACTTGCAATCAGGATTCGAACACAAGACCTTTCTCCCCTCCTGTGGTTTTCAGCATCTGGTCTTCAGAAGCATCGCTTCCTCTGGCTGTGGAAGCAGAGCAGAGCCATTGTGGCCAGGAGCCATTGATAGCCCTCCACAATTTTCTCTAATAAATCTGTCCCGTGAAGCTCCAACATGTGCTTTTCATTGAAAAGGTGCGGTGTTGGGTCAAGAAGACAGTGGTGAGCACATCTGGATGGAAACCAACCCCTCTCTCCCCCCTGGTTTTGTCCCCCGTTCAATATCGCTTGTGCCGTAAATCCCCCTGGCTATTAACCTCAGTTGGAATCCAGGATATGTAGAACGAGCTAATGATGTCTCCAGTATTTTACCCTTCTCAAAAATCAGATCATTCTTGGATGTAGCCATCTGATGAGTCATGGTGGGCTCAGGGCAAGCAAGACCAGACCACAGCTTTAAGACATGGTTCTGGGAAGAAAGAAAGAGAGAGAGAGAGGAACAGAACGGAGATTTCGCTGCCTTCATTGTTTTCCAAAGCCTACTGGCAACCCAACCCAACCAGCGTTTATGTCTGCTTCAAATCTTTAATTCAAGCATGCTGGGAGTTTGGAAGTGCTAATTGCCTTCGCTTTTAACATTTCTGATGAAAGCTATGCGGCTTGCTCCGAATATTCCTCTTGCCTTCCATTTCCTTCCCCCCTGCTACTGTGTCTCCAAATATGGTTTGAATTTTGGGTCTGTAGGAAAATCCCCACCTCCCCTTTTCGGCACATGTGCGTCTCGTTGACACACAACCCCCACCCCAATTTCTGAGGACTCCAGGAAGAGAGAGGATTTGATGTATTGGGGACAACGTTTGCTGGGGAAGGCTGGGAGCCAGAGGCCAAGAGGATAATTCATTCTCGCTTGGTTTTTCCTCCCTCTGGGAAATCTGAAGTTCAGCTACCAGCCGAAACAGCCATGCGCTGCCTCCACAGCTGGGGGCAATATTGAAGGAAAGGCGCAGCAGCCATGACACCTAAGCATGTCCAGAGGCAGCCTGCCTCAGAATACCTGGTTTTTGGGGGGTCATTTGAGCGGGGAGTGCCGCAATGCTTGTGTCCTGTTTATGGATCTTCTATCAGGGCATCTGGTTGGTTACATTGAAAGCTGGATGCTGGGCAAAATGGACCTCTCTCCGTCCCTCTCTCACAGAGTTGCAGAGTTGGAAGGAACAAAAAACACATTTAGAACCAGCATTAAAATTTCCAGTTGCCTGAAAAATGGCTCAGTGGTCAACATTGCCTGCTCGTCATTTCCAAAGGCCTATCTAGGTCTTTGCTTGGCTGTGGAAAGATAACAAGGAGGGAGCCAGGCTAACTCCTCTCTGGGGAAGGAGTTCTGCAATATGGGAGCAGCCACAGAAAAGTCTCTCTCTCTCCCTCTTCCCACCACTAACTATGCCTCTGATCTTGATGGTATCAAGAGAAGATGCTCACCTGAGGATCTTAGCACCTGGGCAGGTTTGTCAAGGGAGATATGAATTTATATATATATATATATAGAGAGAGAGAGAGAGAGAGAGAGAGAGAGTTTTCCATTAAACAACATTTCCAACCATATAATAACCAACACAAAAAAGCTTTTTTGCTCTGCCGAGCTTACGGCTTCCCTCCCTCCCTCCAACAGGTAAAGGTAAAGGTAAAGGTAAAGGGACCCCTGACCATTAGGTCCAGTCGTGGCCGACTCTGGGGTTGCGGTGCTCATCTTGCTTTATTGGCCGAGGGAGCCGGCGTACAGCTTCCAGGTCATGTGGCCAGCATGACTAAGCCGCTTCTGGCGAACCAGAGCAGTGCACGGAAACGCCGTTTACCTTCCTGCCTGCCGGAGCGGTACCTATTTATCTACTTGCACTTGGATGTGCTTTTGAACTGCTAGGTTGGCAGGAGCAGGGACCGAGCAATGGGAGCTCACCCCGTCATGGGGATTCGAACTGCTGACCGTCTGATCGGCAAGTCCTAGGCTCTGTGGTTTAACCCACAGCGCCACCTTCGTCCCTGCCCCTTCAACAGGTATCCCATATCAAATCCCATTGCACAATTTATTTCTTTACTCTATGTCTACATTGTAGGATTTATTTCAATCCTGCTAGTGTCTTCAAATTCTTACAATTGTCATTCAAATATGCAATAAATTTACTCCAGTCTCTTTGGAATTTCTGACCGTCCTGGTCCCGGATCCTGCAAGTCAGTTTGGCCAACTCTGCAAAGCCCATCACCTTCGCCTGCCACTCCGCAATGGTAGGTACTTTTTGCAATTTCCATTTATGGGCCAACAACGTCCTTGCTGCAACTGTGGCATACATAAATAGTCTTTGATCCACCTTCGAGATCTCATTTCCCATCAAACCTAGCAAAAATGCTTCTGGTTTTTTTTGGCAAAGGTATATCTGAACAACATCTTTAATTCATTACAGTATACATCAATTCCCAAAGGGAGATATGAATTTCAGGTAGCCTGGGCCCAAGCCATATAGGGCTTTGTAGTTCATAACCAGCATGTTGAATTGTTCCCAGAAATGGACCGGTAGATGGTGGAGTCGAATTAACAGGGGAGTGGCATGGTTTTTGCAACTGGCCACAGTAAGCAATCTGGCTGCAGCAATCTTCACCAGCTGCAGCTTCCAAGCATTTTTTAAGGGCAGCTACTTCTCTTCTTTGGCCTCATCCAGTAGCCAGGCTCTTCGCCTGTGCTCATGTTTTTTGGAACTTCTGACGCAACCATGCACGGTTTGCCTCCCGCAGCCAGAATGTGTCTTTCTGAGTAAATTCCTGCCTTTAACCAGCTTCCACGCCACTCTTTGGAAGGCTCCTTGGTGCATCATGTTCCAAGTCAGGCATGTCCAAAGTCTGTTTTGGGGGCTTAAACTGGCCTGCCGGTCGGTTTAATCTGGCCCTTGTGGCAGTTTATTTCCTGGGGTAAAATCCTTAAAAAGCTCAGCAACTTTGGTTGGCCCCCACGCCCCTTCACGTCATCAAATCTGGCCCTCTTTGAAAAAAGTTTTGACATCACTGTATCTAAGTGCATCCAGGATTCACCTGGAGTTCTGCCAATCAATTTTGGAGAAATTGAACAAAACAAATGAAATATCGTGAATTGTTTCACTGAATTATTTCACTGAATTATTCAGTTTCCTCAGAAGGAAATAGAAAAATCATAAACTTTAAATGACCAAAATTCAAAAAAAAGGGTAGAACTCCCCAAAATTCAGAAGTATTATAATCCTAGCTTGACCAAGGTAAAGCAAAGGAAACTGAATAATTCAGTGAAACGAGGTTTGTAGCCAGCATCCCGTTAAGGCTTTGTTCAATTTTAGGTTTTTCTAATTTTTTCCCTTAAACTTTTTGATTTTTATTATTTTGTTTATTTCCACAAGATAATATTTCTAGTCGATTACTTCTCGTCTCAGGGATTTTCACGGTATTTCATTTGTTTTGTTTTGGGACAGTGCGGAGACTGTGGAGCACTTTGTAGAGGAGAACTTTATGAATAGTTGCAGGACTTTGCAGGCAACTAAACTCAGGACTTATGGACTTTGACAAAGTCCACAGCAAGGACTTTCTAAGCAAGGAACCCTCTCTGGGCTCAGAGAGTGAAGACTACTTGTAACATCTGTGAATAGTGTGTTTACGTATAAAAAGTGTGTGTTGGTGTTGGCTTAGTAAAGTGAACTCTGTTAAGCAGCTGTTTCCTGTGGTGATCTTAGCCACTTGGCTGAGCGTCCGCAGTGCACAACCCCCACCTGTCCCCAGCCGTTAGATCCTGAGAGGCAAAACCTGAAGGAGGGATTCCATTTCTAAAATATATTACTCTGTATAATCTCAGTAACCCAACAACAATAAGCATTATATACAAATAATTAGAGGTTACAATCATTCTCTGAAATACAAAAGCTTTAATTAATAGTTCCAGATGGAAGCACACGGTGTTGGTGGCCACGCAAACTGCAGAACGTGTCGACATGCTACATTCTTATTTATATAGGAAGAAATTTTCAACCAACATTCTGTGCAGTGCAACTGTGTTAGGCATACAATGAGGGGGCGAGGTGGAATTCTTCTAGGTACGGTGTCTATTGCACTTTGCTGGGGAAGAGCCACATGAGTCAAATTCTGCCCTTAATTAATTTCTTAAACTTTAAGGTTTAGAGGGACAAGAGCTGACAACAATGCTTACATCCCAGCTTTTCCATTTTGGTTTCCAAAACATCCTAGGAAAGCCCAGAACTCTCTTGAGAAACTTTTCTAGTCTTTCTGAAACACTCATCTTCTTTTGAAATTTCTCAGACGCTTCATCTGGGGAATAATTTTCTTCAAATTCCTTTTTAAGTGGAATTTCAACGGCAACTTTAGTTTCACGTAGAGCTCTGCTGAATGTTCACACATGTTGCAATGGCTTTTGGGCGGGGAGTTGATCCCTGTTCATTTTTGCTGATTGCCGTTATTTCTTTTCTCTGTTGCTGTTTGGGAGCCATTTTGCAAGGAGGTCTTCTCCATGAGGACAGTCACATGGGTGCTCCCATCTGCATAGCTTATCAGATCTGATAGTGTCGCTGATGACATCACTGAGGGCAAATGAAGCCAACTGAGAGGGAGGTCAATGCTTTTTGGGTCAGCATTGCCCTCACTCTGAGTGAATGAACAATCCTTCCCTCTTTCAGAGGAATTCCTGGAAAATTGATCATGTGGCTGGATTTTAATA